CTCCATCAATGACACAAAATGTAGGATATTGTAAATTTCCTAACTGCCAAATAAGGAACCTATTCTTATTGCTTTATTCTTTTTTCGGAAATGTCGCTAAACTGTTGTTTTTCTTTGCATGGTATTCGGGAGAAGGATAGACGACAGTATGCAGAATGTGACTGTATTATACTTCGTATATATAGTTATTTGTAGTTAAGCACAAAGCTACACAATGGGCTATCTGTGCTCTGTCCACCACGGGTATCGAAACCCGATTTCTAACGTTGTAAGTCCACAGACATACCGCTATGCCACTGGGGGGCTCGTATATATAGAGAGAAAATCATTATGTGACGACATGTAAAATGGCGTCTTTTTCTAAAAGGTAGACGATGATATACAAAAGTATTTCTGCCTGTAGAGATGAATAGATGATAAGTAAAAGGTTAAGTAACATATATATCGTAATCCTTTATGTTCACATATGCAGGACTAGATTTGATGTTGAAAATACACCAACAATATAAAAAAACTATAATAAATAAAAGTTACAATTCCTTGACGATTAGTTGAAGAATAAACAAAAATATTCAGAAAAATTCATTCATCCTAGGAAAAAGAAGGAATTGTGGGAAAACATAATAACCAAAATATATATTAAAATTCAGGATTTAGTGTCAATGTATTTCAACTGTTTCTATCTTTTCGCCTAGAAATATAATCAACGAGATTAATACAATTTATGTCAAATAAATTCCAAGACATAATTAAATGAATGAAAGGTAAACAATACATTTCTCAGGCATATTGTAAAAGTACCTGATAAGATTCTTTTTAAAATTTTAATTGAATTAACCATATAGAGGGAGTTTAAGCAAAATTTGTGTTCAGCATTTTTTGTTATTATATCATCAAATATACGGTTAAACTTTCGAAACATTTAACAGATTTGAGAAAGATTAAGAAATGAAATTGTTTTAGAATGTTGAACTATAAATAACTAAGAGACATAAAGAGTAGGTATAAAATTCAAAATAGTGCTTGTGTAAGATTAAAATTACACTTTCAGTTATTCACACTACAGTTAGATTTTATTTGAAGAAAGCTATTGGCGGAATTATTTCGTCTTATGTACAAGAACGGAGAATATCTGAACATGTCATAGAAACATGATTAAAAATATAGAGAAAGGAATAGACGTTTTAACTGTGTTAAACAGCTGATTAACGGATATGGTGAATTTGAAATAATCGTTGAGGTTAATAAAAACAAGATGTATTTTTAGCGTGCTACCGATACCTCAAGTATGCTATTAGTGCTACCAGAGAATTGAGAAAAATAAGAAACCTTTTCATAAAATTTACTTTTTTTTTGCCTTTATCATTTGTTTTTCTGTTGATATTTCTTGAAGAAAAGAGTAAACGTGGGCTTAGTGCCCTAGCTGTCTCCTGGGAATAGGCTTTTTAGAAGATCAATATTGACAAATGTCTTGAATCTATATTAGATCTGTAAGATGAGATTTACTCAAGTTTAGATAAAATTCTTGACTCAAATCACACATAGTCACATGTTGTACTCTAGACTATTTCATCCCATATTTCATTATTGAGAATTCTTAATAAATTTGACTGTCAACATTTACTTACTACTTTATGCTGGTCATAATAACCAGTAGAAACTTGAAACTAGTGCGACAAGAATACTTGCTGGAAACTGCTCGTCACTTTTTAGGTACTGTAGAATATCAGTTTGGGCCGCATTCGCTATTTGATAACTATTAAATTGTTATTCTGGCAGACATCTAACGTTATTCACTTTGTCGTAAGATTAAATAAAGCACTAATATCCTCCTCCTCCACACACACACACACACACAGAAGAGTCAATATATTTGGCTCTTCTGTGAAACTGAATGCAGTAGTTAAACAAATAAGTTATAACAGAATTTTGTTTGGCATGACAAAATACATAGAGGACTGCTTGAAATGTTCTATAAGTTTCGAGCCAAACTAGTTAAACCACGAAGGATTAAAACTAAAAACGTGTCTCTTTAGAATTGAGTTTCTAATGAGGAGGTTATGTATTGAGGATAGGTTGCGAGTAGATCGCCCTAACCACCTGGCCATACCAGGCTGGTATATACTAGGATTAGAGATTGTGCAGGTGGTCTCATATTGTATATTGAGATTATGAATTGCTGTAGAGGTTCTAGTAAAGTATAATGGGATTGGGAATTGCTATAAGATTGTATTAGTGTATATTGGCATTTAGGATTGTTGTAGATATCACCACCTAATACTAATATACGCTCCCTAGAAATACTATCACAATCCCGATATACACTATTAGAACTACTACAGAGTGCCCAATATACATTTGAGCAACACTACCTAAGTACAGAATACACTCATAGAAACCATACGACAATCCCAATATGCGTTCTTTAACAACACTATCTAATTCCAATATAAACTTATTAGAGACCCTACGCAATCCCAGTATTTAGCCATTAGAAACATTATCTAACCCTATTATACACTATTAGAACACTAAGTTAAGTAAATTCCCGTATATATATTTGGATTAGACAGTGTTAATAAACAGCGTATATTTCGGTTGTGGTAGGGGTTCTAATGGAGTATATTAGGAATACGGTGCTGTTACTACAGAACTTATATTGGGACTACCTTAGAGGTTTTAGCTAGTGTAAATTGAAATTCTGCTCGGGTTTCCAATGTGTGTATTTTAGTTATAAATACAGTAGAAGTGGCATTGCAAGTTCAACTGTTATTATGTTTTTTATGAAAAGTGTGTGTTTAGATTCAAGGATCACTTATTTTACTTGTGTACGGAAGCACATTATGCTAATACAATATCAAATTGACCAACAACGATATATAAACATAATGAAAATATTACCTAGAAAAATACTAATGTTTAAACAGAACATTGATCTGTCTTCATCTTTTCTTAGCATTAATTATTCATTGGTGATCTTTATGTATTTTCTTACATTCATTTTGCAATGAGACAGTTTCATCTTTGCGAACAGTACAACTCTGCCTGTTTAGTTAACTCTCTCTGTGCGAGTGTTCTTGAGCACAAAGAAATAAAATTGAAAATCAATAGCCTTAAACTTATTGAACACAGTTCGAAACATCATGGCGGACTTTCGATTAAATCATGTTTGAGGATTTTATTTGAAAATAGGTTACTACTATACCTGCTTCTGTGGTCTTTGTTGGTGTGGTTATATGATAACATATAATAACAGTATAATGTAAAAAATATATACTTATATACGCAAATTGTGAGAAAAATTAGGAATATTAAGGAAAACCTATTTAATGTCATGTATTATCATTTGCGAGATAAACGCTTAGACCATGTTCTGTTAAATGGTGTGTACATGCAGTTAAATTGCATTGTATTATATATTAATATTCTGTAGATAACAGTTAAAAACTTACGGGAATGTGTTAAAATCATAAGAAGCAAAGATTGTACTCGTAGATACTTTATTGAAGGGAAGAAAATATATTTCGCACTAATGACAGGTTCTGGGAAATTCTGTAATTCAATAATTTATTAACAAAAACACAAATGATACAAGGCAACATTTAGAGATCAGATTCCTAAGTAACCCTTATATTTTAACGTTTTTGGGATTTTGATTACTTTGTACGTTTATAGTTAAAGAGTAGTATCATGTTAAAATTCATATGTAGGAAAATTACAGCAGCTTCTAAATATTTTAGTCCCGATTCTGTTCTAAATATTTTTCATGTAAAGCCATCTGTAAAGATTCGCAGTTAGTTATCTTGGACAACAGAATGTGTATATTTTATAAACAATGGTTTAACATAGTTTGCTAGTTATGAAGTTTGTAGCTATGAATAATTTATGTGTAGCTATATTTGTTTTGTTTTTTCAATCACTTTGTATAGCATTTGAAACAAACAGTTTTCTAAACTGAAATATATCTTAGAATTGAATTAAACAGTCTGTTTCCAATATATCAGAGAGGAATTAAATCTCCAGCTGTGACATGACACACTTTGTTTCAAACGGAATCGACAATGTCAAATAAGTAAACACTATAAAAATATTACAGTCACAAAACGATGAACTGAAGCACGAGGAACTGACTGAATTATAAAAGTTGCATTTTCTTTCGACCTGTTTTCACTTGTTACTTACTGAAATGTTTATATCTAATTATATCTCTCTCAGTACCCAGAAATTTCCCTTTTCAGATAAACTGGATTTATTATTTCAATGTTTTTGTTGTTGCTGTTTTACCAGGGATCTTTGCTCAAAGAAAAGGATTTAAATCCCCATATATTGATTGCTGATTTTTTGTAGTCTAATTATTTTCACGTTGAACACTTAGAAGGGAACCTGTTTTGTAAATACATTGCTTCAAACTGAGATTTAAAAACGTTAGCCATACAGACGTTCTTATCAAAATAGATATTCACTCATAACATGTGGGGACGCTACCTCAAAGTGTACGCACTTTCACTAACTTTTAACCAAGTGTTATTTTACAAAAGCAAATTTCGTATTCCATAAAACATTGTACTTTGTACTTCATCTCAATTGGAAGTTATTATCATTCTGTAAAAACTGCTGAAAACTACAGTTGTTTCAGAAACTTATTACACGAAAAACTAAAACGAAAGATATAAAAAAATTGATATATTCATCTTCTAGCGTAAGATGTGATTAATATTTTACATTATACTCCATCATAAGAATCGTCAGGGATATATTTCTTGGTATTAGAAGTTAAGAGTATAAAGAAACAAGAATTACTACTTGGTATTTCTACTCAAGAAATTACTTTATAATAAAATATTTTATCTACATATTGATATATAAATGTTAAAAACAATAAATATTTATCAAGAACATCATTCTAGAACATACTCTATTTTCTAAATGATAAAAAGAAATTGTGTCATATAAAGAATGATTATGTGTAAAGTATACATCTGAATGTACAGTCTCTTAGGAAAGGATCAAAGCTGATGACGTTTCACCACTCCAGGCAGATTGTCAATTAATAGCATGGACCAACCTGTGCGTATGAAATCTATTACAAAAAGAATAACTTCATTATTTATAGTCATTAAAACTGTTTGAAGTTGAACTAAACATGTTATAAGATTAATTATGATATTTAATTCCAAACATACCCAGCAGAGTTCATGTTTATACGATGTTGAACTGGGAAGGAAATATTTTATTTTAGTTTCATGTTACATACGATAAGAATTGCCACACCAATTTTTAAGCCTAAAACTAACCTTATCTCTTAAACGTGGGCGTTAGTTCTGCATAATCTCACTGTACGTTTCTAAACGAAGTACTCGTTAGGCTCTTAATCTTATTATAATTTCACGTACCTCCAAATATTTTAAATTAACGAAGAAGAAAAATATATACTTTTACTCTATATCCTTTTCTGAGAGAAACTGAATCGAACAAGTTGGACTTTAAACCGTTAATTTTAAAGAAGATGTTGGAATTCAACACCTGATGAGTTTACGATTACGTTTATTTATTTATCCAGATGTATAATCTAAGACATAGGTGTTTATTAAATGAATTAAATACATATAATGTTTAAATAAAACCATCCTACAGTTCTGTAAACTAAAATATTTTGAATTGGTAAACGATTGTAATTTCAATGCAAGTTTTTCTTTATTTGAGTAACAAATATTTCAAATGCTAATGAGTTTTGTGTCTTCGTATTTTCCTGCACTAAGACAGGGATGAAACTAAGTTGATTCAGGTGAACGGTACAGAATTATGGAACTATACATACATATGAAAGAAATAGACATTCAGAATCGGGATTTTATTCCAATTTAGCACGCAAACTTTAGAGTATTTTACATTCCAAACTGAAAAAATATCGTCTTTTTTTAAAATTCAGTTTGCTGAAGGAAACAAAAAATTGGTTCTGAAATAAAATGCTTTGCCTGTGAACACTACACACTGTTTAGAAACTACAGATATTTAAATTTACAAGCATATATTTGCTTCTGGATTTGCTTGTTTTAGCGTAAAGCCACACATTAGGTTATCTGCACTATGTCAGAGGATCGAACCAAGGTTTTGAGCATTGTAAGTCCGTAAACTTATCACTGACCTACCGGAGGACTTGTTTTATAGAAGTTACTACTCTGACGCATGTGTTGTGAAGTGAGACTACTCTCTCTCTCTCTCTCTCTATATATATATATATATTACACCAATGATTGTGTAAATGTACTGGAAGAAATGATTTGATAATTAGAATTTAGAACTTTGATACATCCCCTCAACATATCGTTTTCAAAGTATTCGATCTCCTCAATCTAAGTGTTAATTTGGTCGGCAAACAGCAGCTTATCTTTGGACAGGTATGATAATCTTGCAGACCATGCACGATGGATGTTAGTTTCTCATGAGTGATTTTGTTATTACCTGTCTCTCCTACTTGCCGAGATACCGATGGTTTATAAGATTGTGACAGTAGTCTGCAATGACGAATGGATTGCTTCACTAAACTCTAGCGTCGAGGGAGAACTTGTTTAAGAAGTTTTCGCTAGAACTGTCAAATGACAGGAAACTTGTGACAGTTAGAATTGTTGTCGATCTATCAAGTGACAAATTCTCTAATCAGAACGTCCATTATCGACTTAGTTTGGTAAAACTTTATTAACTGTTTTCTCTTTGTTGTCAGTGATAAACTGTGAAACAAATATAGAAGAAAGCTCTACATAAGATTGTGTTTCATTTAGATTATTTGTTGAAAGATAAATACTGAATAAACCTACTTTTAAAAACTGAAATTGAACTTAATTGTTTTACATTGACGTTAAATGATATGCATTAAAAACTTGTCCTTCTCGGTGGTGTGCCGCCCAGTGGTACAGCGGTATATCTGCGAACTTACAACGCCAGAATCCGGGTTTCGATACCCGTTTTGGGCACAGCACAGATAGCCCATTGTGTAGCTTTGTGCTTAAGTACGAACAAAAAAAAACACTCTCGGTGGGTCAACAATACACTTACTGACTTATAAAGCTGAAATCCAGGGTTCGATATCTATCTCGGCGGACAGAATAAAAATGACCCAGTGTGTAGCTTTGTACGAAGAAAACAAAAACAACAAAAAATGTCTCCCACTCATTTTAGCAGTTAATGTATCCTTTTGAAAAAGACACATTTTCTTATAGTCGCAAATGAATTTATTTCAAAATCCCCCCCCCTCCCCAGTTGCACAGCGGTATTCTGCGGACTTATACCGCTAGAAATCGGGATACCCATGGTGTGCAGAGCACAGATAACCCATTGTTTAGCTCTGTGCTTAACCTCAAACAAACAAATAATTGTAAGGATGAACTGTTCAATAAACTCCAGGTGAATCACACTCTTAGCTAAAGGAGAGTTTGTTTAAGTTTCTTTGTATTCGTTGAACCTCGTGTAATAGTTTCAAAACAGTTTGTTTGTTGTCAAGACCCAAGCTACCCTGCGCCCAGGGTTTTAGCATTATAAACTTTCAGACTTACTGCCTAGCCACTGGGGGAGGAGGGGGAGCTGGTTGAATAAATACGAGGGTACGACTTTTTTTCTTTTGGGTTTGTTTAAATTTTTCCCTCTAAAATTGAAATGTTTTCTTCGTAAACTAATTTTAGAATCCTTCTACTCATCCCAAAGTATAGATTTATAATTTATCCAGATCCTGGCATCCTTTACGAATGGACAAATCGAAAGTTTCGTTTTTCACGTGACTTTTACTGTACTCATATGACCATTTTGAAGAAACCTGCGTTGAGGAGGCTTTTATGATATCACAGTAACTAATAAATTTTACAAGATAAAATCAATAGCTAAGCATGATTGAATAGAAAACATTCTTGTCTGTCTACATCATTGTAAATTGAATAACTCATGGGTTAGCAGTAATGTACAATTTCCAAGAATATGAGAACAAAGGATTCCAATGTGAAGTTTACTAAACTAAAGAGAAAGTCCCAAACCTAGATTGTTTTATGGTTTCCTTTGACAATGTTTTCGTTCATGATAACGATTTTTATGTTATATTACGTATGTTTTAATACTGCAGGAACGTTCTTATATGAAAAGATACAAGGGTTAGTACCATAAGCTAGGAATGCGGTAACGGCAAACTATTCATACGACAGCTCTTATCATTACAAAAAAAAACAAAAAAAACAACAAATATAAGTAGAAGAACCCCATAGTTACAGAGAATGAACTGTAATTATTAAATATAAGTACAAGAACCCCATAGTTACAAAGAACGAACTGTAATTATTAAAGTGAAATTGACCTTGACCAAAAATATAATTGGAAAAATATCGTCTGTATCAATGTAGGCCTAGGACACAAATGCAAGTTTGTTTTAACAGGTAAAGGTGATTTATGCTATTTTCGTGGCAACAGAACTGCTTCAATAGCTAAAGATAAACAACAAATATAAGTAACTGATGAAATTAAAACACGTTGTAACTCATTGCATATATAAAATGAAACTTTCTAATCAATAGCATTTAAAGACAATCTAATTTTATTTATTTATTCGATATTTTGAATAGTTACTTTCAATACACTGATAGCAGTTACAGATTTGTTGAAAAATAACTATTACATTTACATGATTTATGGCACAATAAAGATCACACAATCCCTGAGAGTAAAGGAAGTGCCCTCAAGTGGCACAGCGGTATGTGGTGGGCAGAGCAGAGATAACCCCTTGTGTAGCTTTGTGCGTAGCTGCAAATGAACTAAAGGAAGTATTTTTAATTATTTATTTTTTTCAAACAACGTATCCAAACAAAATTTCCGTAAATTTACAACCTGAAATATGATACAAATATTATACTAATGTATACAATTTCCTTAAGGACAAACTACGTATGACGTAGAAAAAAATTGTCCCAAATGTCGTGCAATTCGGATAAGTATTTTAGTACGATAGCAAAACAAACAAGGGTTAAACATCATCACTATAGTGGTCCGGATGAGCTTAGTCTATCAGTTCAAAACTGGGGACGACTATGCGCTTATATATCCCTCAGGTAGCTCTTGTCGACGAGCATTCTCGCGCCTTTCAGCCGTTATAATTTAATGACCAATCTCACTATTTGTTGGTAAACAGTAGCCCCAATGTTGAGTGTGTGGGTTGACTAGTTGCCTTCTCTTTAGTCTATAGCTTAAACATTAGAGATGGCTAATGCAAATAGCTCTCGAGTAACTTAGCACGAAATTCAACGAACAAACTTATATAGCTATGTGCGAAAATTCTAAACAAACATACTTTTCTGTGACTTAAACCATTCTTTTCAAATTATTTTGGAACAAAACTCATGTACTTTTGTATATGGACAATTCTAAAAAGCCATATGCACAAGCATAAGGAAAAAAAAAGACACCATCTGTTGAATTAGTTTATCTTTTAAACAAGAGGGAATTCTTAATAGCCGCAGCACCTGAAATTCGTTTAGGAAGGATTAGAGTAAATTAATCTGAAACTTTTTTTTCTTTTTATTAGCTTTATTTTAGTGCGCCAGCATTATCAAGCGTGGGGCGCGTGTATACCCTATTCGATTTTATTAATCAACAGGATTCGATGACGAGGAACCCACTTTGAGACTAATAATTGTTGGAGACGGCTTGAATGGGTAATGAAGAAAACTTTTATATAAGTTTAACATAACAGCAAATGTACAACGTTTCGACAAGGTTTTGTCAT